CAGACATTCACAATAAAACTTACTTCCACATAATTCTCAATTTCAGCTACAGAATCATGAACCTCATCAGAAGGTACAGAAGCATTCATATCAGCTGCATTTGCATTTTCCACCTACATTTAATTGTAAAGGACATACAGACAGACAAATAATATATCACAGACAAAAATAAAGGATACGACAGACATTCACAATAAAACTTACTTCCACATAATTCTCAATTTCAGCTACAGAATCATGAACCTCATCAGAAGGTACATAAGCATTCATATCAGCTGCATTTGCATTTTCCACCTACATTTAATTGTAAAGGACATACAGACAGACAAATAATATATCAGACAGACAAAAATAAAGGATACGACAGACATTCACAATAAAACTTACTTCCACATGCTTCTCAATTTCAGTTACAGAATCATGAACCTCATCAGAAGGTACAGAAGCATTCATATCAGCTGCATTTGCATTTTCCACCTACATTTAATTGTAAAGGACATACAAACAGACAAATAATATATTAGACAGACAAAAATAAAGGATACGACAGACATTCACAATCAAACTTACTTCCACATGCTTCTCAATTTCAGCTACAGAATCATGAACCTCATCAGAAGGTACAGAAGCATTCTGCATTCATATCAACTGCATTTGCATTTTCCACCTACATTTAATTGTAAAGGACATACAGACAAACAAATAATATACCAGACAGACAAAAATAAAGGAAAGACAAACATTCAAAAAAGCATTGAAAGGAAACATGTTCTATTGTTGGAAACACAATAAAACATACTTCCACATGATTCTCAGTTTCTGCTACAGATTCATGAACCTCATGAGAAGGTACATAGGCATTCATATCACATGCGTTTGCATTTGCCGCCTACATTTAATGGTAAAATACATACAGACAGACAACAATTATATGAGACAAACAAAAAGTAAAGGAAAGATAAACATTCACAATGCATGGAAAGAAGAGCACAGTCTCAAGTGGGAAACACAATAACATTTACTTCCTCATGCTTTTGATGTTGAGCATCAGCTTGATGATCATCCTCAACAACAACTGCAACTTCATCATGGTTGACATCTTCATCTTCATCAGCTTGATGCTTGGCATCTTCATCTTCATCATGCTTCTCCTCAGCCACACTCCCGACAATCATCCTATCTGCCATTAGTTTCAGCCGCGCCTCCAGAGACACCACTTGCGTCCGTAGCTTTTTCATTTCAGCCATCATCTTGGATTTGAAGCCATCATCATCTTCACCATCGTCTTCCTCGTCTTCCTCCTGCACGTACAAGCTATAGTCATTTACACACTTTGAAGCAAAATTTCATATTTTAAAAACACGCAAATACATTACATCGTAATGATCCTTGAAAATCATTTCATTTAGCTTTTGCAAATGAAAGAACCCCAAGACAGACAGCTCACAACACAAGACAGACAAGGAAATTTGAACAACAAACAAATGAAAACATCACAGACAATTATAATGTTGTTACAGACAACTCAAAACAAATGACAGACAACTGGAAACACGAGACAGACAATTCTATGCAATTGAAAGACAACTACAAAAAAAGACAGACACAGGAATATGAATGACAGACATCTATTTCAAAAATCACACTCATGTATGAACTCCTTACAAACAATTCAGAACATGTCATAGACATCTCACAACACAATAACAACATCTCAGACAACTCTTAAATCACATAAAGAAAATTAGGTCTAGTTTAATTAAATTAAATCAATTATGGTAAGGTGAGTACTGCACAAGGATGAAAATATTACCTTTTAGCAAGATCGGTTAAACTTGTTCGCACCGTGGCTTCAAAGTTATCTCCTTTTTTCGTTGAACTTGGACTAGCGACTCGAAGAGTTGGAGCACAACAGCGCGTCTACGAACTTGGACCAGCGCCTCAACGAACTGACTTCAGTTGGATGGGTTCGGTTGTCCGTCTACGAACTTGGACCAACGATGATTTTTAGAGCAGCGCCTCGAGGAACGGCCTTCGTTTCTCCAGAGCAGAGCAGAGCCAAGGAACGGCGTCGCTGGGATGGGTTCGGTTGTTCGGCGTCGCTGGATGGGTTCGGTTGTCCGGCGTCGCTGGATGGGTTCGGTTGTCCTGCGAAGATGGCGGTCCGAATCGTGGAGTGGGTGCGGGAGTATGGAGCGGGAATTGGGATGGATGGAAGGAAAAAGGAAATAGGGTAAAATTTTGAATTGGAAAGGAAAAGAAGTGAGGTAAAAAAAAATAGGGGAGTATTTATATGGGGTGCCAAGGGTGTACACAATTTGTGTACCCCTAGCAAAATTCAAACAATTAAGGTTATAAAAGGAAATTTGCTTAGTGTTTCTTTCCCAAAATAGAAAGGTTGCATTTAATTTGAAACTTCCGAAAAAGGAAAGTGTTGCACTTATTTAAGAACGGAGGAAGTATATTGTATTTCATGTCGGTGTTACTGCTATACATTACTGCACTACTGGTCATAATCACTACACTTTCTGCCAACGTTATGACACGATTAATTGCATTCGATCCACTGAACAACACACTTCGTAAATGCATTCATTCATTACCCATGTACAACATTATATATTGCCATATGCAATCATATCAATTGTCATGTTCCCTGGCCATGCTCACTGTCTTTGTTCACTGCGCATATATAATGTCCACAAACCCTAAACTCAATAAAACCTAATTTCAAAAATAGAAAAAGAAAAACGAGGATGGGGGCGGGAGGCTGGTCGGCGGCGGCGAGTTGGGGTGCTGTCGTGCGGATGGAAGTGATGGCTGGGCAGCGCCTGCACCGCGTCATGGAGATGAATGCGGCGCCGCAGCATGGGGACGACCATGACATGGGGACAGCCGCGATGCCAAGAGCATGAGGACAATTGCGGCGCCGCAACATAGAGACGGCCGCGGTGAGCGAACGTGGAGACGATTGCGCCTGCCGGTAGGCGCAAATATATGGGGAAGCCGTGGTGCCGCGACATGGTGACAGTTGCGGTCGTGGGTAGGCACAAGCATGCGGACGGCCGCAACAAGCAGGAAGGGTGACGGCCGCGGCGCATGAGACCGCCCCGGTGACGGTGGAGCAGGTGCCACGACGATGGAGGCAGCGGTGCCATAGCGACGGGCTTACGGGTACCACGATTATGGGGCGTCGGGTGCCGCGGCGGTGAGGTGGGTTACGCCGGGGCAACTAGGTCGGGAGATGCCGCTGCAATGGCTGGTGGATAAGGTTTTGAGAAACTGAGTAAGGTTTTATTATAACAATTAAGGGCATATTAGTTCATGAGAATTATTTATTTATTTATTTATTTATTTATTTATTTATTTATTTATTTATTTATTTATTTATTTATTTATTTATTTATTTATTTATTTATTTATTTATTTATTTATTTATTTATTTATTTATTTATTTATTTATTTATTTATTTATTTATTTATTTATTTATTTATTTATTTATTTATTTATTTATTTATTTATTTATTTATTTATTTATTTATTTATTTATTTATTTATTTATTTATTTATTTATTTATTTATTTATTTATTTATTTATTTATTTATTTATTTATTTATTTATTTATTTATTTTTATTAAATATTACGAATTTAAGTATTAGTTTTGTAAAGAAAACTAATAAAGTCATACATTGGAAAAATGAATGAGTTTTAGTAAAAAAAAAAATATGAATGAGTTTTAATCATACCTAGAGTAATTTTCTCAAGATATTAGACAGGTCTTCACTCTGAAGCTAGATTTCTTGTCTAGGTTAGTTAACGATTCGCGAACTGTGTAAGTTACAAGTTAATTAGGGCGACAGTGTAACATGCGAGTAATAGTGATTCTCTAATAGTGATTCTGACGTTGGTCCAAACTATATCTCCTTTCATTAAATCAACAAAGTTTAACTATTTCCATTCGAGCTACCCTCAAGCCCTTGATGCTAGCCTGAATGATCACAGAATTAGTGTTTCGCCTTGGAATCAGGTAAAATCCAACAAGATAGGGAGTAATATATTATACTTAGTACTAGTACTACTCGGTTCTTAAATAGTTACAGCTTTTGAATTTTTACACTATTCATGTACTCAACTTTAACTACATTTTATTTTCAAATCCATCTAAATTTTATTTTTAAAAAATATAATTATATTGTTCTCGTTTTGTAAATGTGATTTTACTGAAATATTTACAATTACATGATTGCACTTGAATATATTAATGATCAAAGTTATGCATCGATAAACGTAAAAATATGAGCATGTTAACTAAAACTGAACAGAGGAAATACATTATATATACGTAGTATTGTGTTTTGGCCCCAAACGCCAACCTCCACGGCTCCACCTGCCACCGCTAAGGAGGGCGTTTGTATTGATGTTATATATCCCACCGCTAAATAGTCAATGCACAACAGTTACGTTGCTCTACCACAAATAGTATAGTAGTTACTCGGTTACTCTATTGAATAAACGTCAAAGAAAATCACCAAAGCTAGCATCACTTGTGGCCGGATTTTTTTACTTGTGGCCGGATTTGGTATGCACCAAATCATTGTATAAAGAGCCCGTTTGGTAGCACCAAAATCGGCTATTTTGGCTGATTCTGCTGAAATTTATGAAGTTCTGGTTGAAGTGGTCGCATTGGCTGATTTTGCTGATTTAAGAAAAATTATTTTTAAAATATATTTTATTAATAAAATGAAGAAAAAATTATATGTAAAATAGTTAAAATAGTCATCTACAGTAACTTCAGCCAATACAAACAGAAAAGTAACTTCAACCTCACTTTTTCTGCTTATTACGTGTTTGATGAAAAAGTTGACTGATAAGCCGAAAAACAGTGTTACCAATCGGCCTCACAATATATGATCAAATAACAAGTATTTTTGACAATGATGATGTTAGGAGTATATTGATTTTAATATGTGATGATATAATTATGATATACTCCGTACTAGATATGGAGTATTGTTTTCTAAGAAGCAAACTAAGGCGGAGACATTCAAAAGAAAATGTTTAATGCGGAGGGAGGTATATTTGAAGCCGTACGTCAACTTTGAGAGCTATGTTTCACCTACTAACTTGACCGATTGATCCATCCAAATTATGAGCCTTATTTATCTGAATTTGCATACAGATTCCAACAAAGAGATCTTTTTCCCATTGTAGGTTTCTGCTGAACTCTTTCAGCAAATATGGCGCAGCAGTCACTTCTCCTCCATGCCACAAAATTAGACTTGAAAGGTTTGTTTTTATCTTTTCCTTTTCAACTCCTTTCTAGAACAATAGAACATGTAATAGAAGTTTTAGAGCCCGTTTGGTAGCACGAAAATCGGCTGTTTTGGCTGTTTCTGCTGAAATTTATGAAGTTCTGGTTGAAGTGGCGGTTTTGGCTGATTCTGTTGATTCTAGAAAAAAATATTTTAAAAATATATATTATTAATAAAATAAAGAAAAAATTACATGTAAAAATAGCTAAAATGGTCATCTACAGTAACTTCAGCCAATACAGCCAGAAAAGTAACTCCAACCTTACTTTTTCTGCTTATTACACAATTCAGCACGCAAAAGTAAAAATTACGTGTTTGGTGAAAAAGCTGGCTGATAAGCCTGATAAGCCGAAAAAAGAAGTCTCCAAACGGGCTCTTAATCAACTTATTCTTTTATGAAGACTAACAAAGTCTTATTTGAAAAATAAAACATATTTAATCTTATTTTTGAACTTTGTGTATGTTATGGTACTAATTTGAGAAATTTTATTTCTTTTTATATGGGACTACTGTTTTTTAGAAATATAGATCTTCAAATGTTTTTTTACTTTATTACTACGACAACATAAGTCATGTTTTAGAAATAAAACATTATTAATCTAAAGGAAAATTGCACTTTTGGTTCCTTAGATAGTCACGATATTGAAATGTCAGACTCGTGTTTTTGAGATTGTAAATGTCATCCTCTGAATTGTAAATGTAAATGTTATCCCAACCATTTATAATTTATATTCAATTCTGGACCGACCACCAATAAACGATCCCATTTACAATCTCGGAAACACGAGTCTCACATTTCAATAGCTAACTTATCTTGTTTATGTTTAACTTGTGAGTGATTTCTTAAGAAACAAATGTCAAACTAAATAAAGGTTAGGAGTACACATAAATTATTAGGGGTGGGCATGGTCCGGAACGCTCTGGGAAATTAGTAAAACCCGTAATGTATCCGTGAGGTTTCTAACGGTCCGGTACGGTCTAGTTCTAAGGATGGAACCATTCGGTACCGTGTCATTTCAGAACGGTACAAAACGGTACGGTACAATGCCAAACGCATGCTAAAAAATTGGACAAATCTTGCAATTAGTAGATATCACAACACAAACCAACTCACATGAAGTTTCGATATAAATACAAGAAATTACATACGCAGTACTAAAATTCACAAACACACAAATAGTGCAACATAACTAAGAAAAAGTATAGCAAAATGATTAAATTTACTAAGTTAATGTGAAAATATAAAAAGAATATCATCAAATTGTAGAATATAATAGAAAAAAACATTGTTCTTCTACTTTGTTCTTGGTTAAATATTAGTTCTAATTTAATTTATAACTGGACCGTGAGAGATAAGATTTAAACTATATTAATTAAGTTGTAAAATTGCATAAACATGATACAACAATAAGTCATATACACTTAATTACTAGAAATGAATAGTCATTAATAAATTTAAAACTTTAACTTTCTTTCAATATATACCAAAATATAACACAAATTATCTAAAAAGAAAAAATAACAATATACTTATAAACACACACATTTAGCTATTTTAGGGACACATGAATACATACTTGGTTTCAAAAAATATAAAAAATCGAATGCATTATTTTTGAACGGTCCGGTCCGGTATTTTTTGGTTCTCAAAATCTAGGACCGGTCCTGTACCCGTTTCAAACGGTACGGTTTCGGTTCGGGATGAAAATCTATAGAACTGTTTAAATACTCGATATTCGGTTCGGTACCATTACGGGCCGGTTCGGTACCGGTTCGGTTCGGGTTTTATGCCCACCCCTATAAATTATGCTTGATTGTTCTCCTCTTCATTAGGTAACTGTGGATGGTTTAAACATTTCGATGAACCAAAGAGAAAGGCGAACCATTTGAAACCACAATCAAGATGCAGGACAAAGGCCAGTTCAATTCAAATCCCTAGTGAATGGTACAATATAATTGCTGACCTTCCAGTAAAGCCCCCTCCTCCTTTGCACCCAAAGACCTTTGAACCAGTCACACCAGAGGATTTGTCTCACCTCTTTGCTGATGAACTCATCATTCATGAGACTAGCAATGATCCTTTTATTCCTATACCCCAAGAGGTTATAGATGTTTATAGTCTTTGGCGCCCCACGCCCCTCATAAGGTTAGTAAGTTTCCTTCGATGCTGTGTGAAATTTTGCCAAAAAAGAGATGAAAATGGTGATATATTTTTCTTGGGGAATATCATTCAAAACCTATTATACTATCCTCATGGTAATGCCAACACCCTTGATTTGTTCATGATAATGCCAACATCCTTGATTTGGATGAAACTCGAACTTGTGTTCTCCTCCTCTTTGGGAGATCAGCAGCGATGCCATCAAACCACGAGATACTTGACTAAATGGCGATAGAGTTTGTTGCGATTGCATTGCGGTTATGTTAGAGGAGCATTTCCTTAGCGGGAGTTATTGGCGGCGATATTAGATAGATAAACTTGAGTTTTACTGATATCTCTTTTTCTCATATTAGAAGATCAGCGATCAGGGCGACTCATGAGCTGGCTAGGGCCGCCTGTTTAGTGTATGATTGCTTGTACTGGAATGATTTTCCTCCTTTTATTCTTCATGTATTGAACATTGATTCATTGAATGAAAGTTAATGATTTTCTTTTCAAAAAATAAAAACAAACTGCAATTGGGGCGCGATATGGGCCTAAATCGCAATATTACAGCCGCAAGAGTATTGCATTGCACAATTTAAGCTGTGCTTATATGCTGCATTGGTTATTTTGGGTTGAACTAATGTCACAGTGTAAAAAACACTAATGTCACAATAAGATTTCGGAATGTCGTTCTTAAAATGATTGATTTTTTTTTTTAACAAGTCGATCTGAACAGTTTAAATCTAGTTTGTTTTGGGATTGAAATAAGACCAATTGAAAACATCCTAATTTACTCTAATTTAAGAGCAAAAGACAATACTTCTATTTAGTGAAAGAGTTTGTTTCTACCGTTGTTTTGAAAACATCCCTTTATATAATAACATGTGATGATTTAACAGAGCAAAGAGGTTGGAGAAACTGCTTGATACACCAGCAAGGATATACTACAAGTATGAAGGGGGTAGCCCGGCCGGTTCACACAAACCGAATAGTGCAGTTCCTCAAGTTTGGTACAATTTACAACAAGGTGTAAAAAATATAGTTACGGAGACTGGTGCTGGCCAATGGGGGAGTGCACTCGCATTTGCTTGCAGCTTATTTAATCTAAACTGCGAAGTAAGTCATTCTTATAAATAATGGAGCTAATTAGAATTCATCATTTGGCTAAGGTAACTCATAGACTATATTGTATTTGGACAGAAACACACTTGAAATCTAATCAATTAGACAATTAGATAATGCAAGTCAAGAACTTATAATAATGTATAATAAGAACTTTTAATTAATGCATGCATGTATAAATAAATAGTTATCAAGTAAAATTATTATTATATACAAGTATATGATGATAAGTAGTAGTTACACACATGCTTCAAGTTTTTCAAAAATCGAATAATGTAAATCCCATTTCGGGTCTACACGACCCGTTTTAGAAACCTGTTGGATCTGGATATGGATTATTTATTCTAGACTTGCCACGTAAAGAGTCCGAGTCTGAAACATAAACTAAATTAACGGGTCCGATTTTAGAATACTATTTCCGGCCCGAACGAGACACATTGCAGGCCTAGTATTGAGATTACAAGACTAACAATATTTATATTTTTGGAAGGTATGGCAAGTACGTGCTTCGTTCGATCAAAAGCCATATCGACGGTTGATGATGCAAACATATGGCGCCAAAGTCTACCCATCTCCTTCTAGTGTGACCGAAGCGGGTCGGGCCATTCTCAAAAGGGACCCATCAACTCCGGGAAGTTTGGGAATGGCCATTTCCGAGGCGGTGGAAGTTGCATCAAACAATGCAGATACTAAGTACTGTTTGGGTAGTGTCCTAAATCACGTTCTTTTACACCAGACAATCATCGGTGAGGAGTGTATAAAGCAAATGGAGCATTTGGGGGAGACTCCAGATTTGATCGTGGGTTGTACGGGCGGTGGGTCCAATTTTGCAGGGCTTGCCTTCCCGTTCCTCCGAGAGAAGCTTAAAGGGACACTTAACCCTGTTTTTAGGGCAGTTGAACCTTCAGCATGCCCTTCGTTGACTAAAGGCTTATATGCGTATGACTATGGGGATACAGCTGGGTTGTCTCCTTTGATGAAGATGCATACTTTGGGACACAACTTTGTACCTGATCCTATCCACGCAGGTGAGGCATTTGTTTGAAGTATCTTTCCAATTCTTTGCACGGGTCAAGCTAATTGTCTCTGGTCTGATTTGGTTTAAGTCTGGTCTGGTCTGGTGTGGGACTTAAAACATTTCAAAAGAAAACATCCCAATTGGAAAAGCTTTTTGAGATTCTTAGGGTATGTTTGAGAGTAATGTTTGGCAGGAGAGGGGAAGGATTAAGAGGGTTCATGACTTCTCCTTTCTCATTTGAGTGTTTAAAAACTTGGAAGAAGTGGTTTTGGTGGGTTCTTGTAACTCTTTAAAATCCGTAAATGCTTAATTTTTACGTTTGCCAAATTGGGAGATTTTGAATGACGTCTTAATTTAAAATGAATATAAGTTCAAATATTTAAACTCGTCATAAGTTTGAAGTGATTTTAATTATAATTCTCGTTTAGCCCTCCTCTGTTCACAAACATACCGATTGAAAATATTTTATAAGAACACAATTGTACTACATAAGTGTTTTTTAAAAGATGACTCTTTAACTTAATTATGTTTGATATGCCATGTTATGATTAATTAATTCTAAAAATATTAAAAAAAATCATTCTAAAAGCAACAAACTTTGTCTTTGAAGCTAACTAATGCGCTTTTAAAATTATGCGAAACAAAACATAAACATAATCTCCTTGTTTCCTTGTAACTATGTTTGCCAAATTCAGGGGCAGATTCAAGAATCTAGGATGCCTTAAGTCGAATAACAATTACATTAGGCTAAAACATTGGCGGGATGGGCTAATATGAAATATGAAAAAATGAATACACTAAAAACTTGAAAAAAGATTAAATTGTCCTGACCTTCGCTCCACCATAACCTCACTAAACCCTGGACTATTCAGGCTCATTTTGACAAAATGCATAGAAAAATTTCAACATGGGCAACCCCAGTTATTGAATTTACAAAACATATATAAATGTAGAGTTCGAGGAAAATCTATTAGGACTGAAGACATATGTTACAACTTACGAGTAAATGAACAAATGTGTTATTTTGTGCTCTTGTGGTTCAAAGTAACTCTTATGTTTTGGGTAAAAAGGACATTCAGTTATTTAGGCTCATAACTTGCCAACACCTCTTATATATTAGTTGAACCTTACGTACTTGTATATTATTCTCCGTAACCAATAAATTTGGCTATTTTAAATCCTCCCTCTAGAAATGTACAATTTCCAGCAAAAAAGCAATTGATAAAGTTGCCACTCTACTGATAAATTTGACTATTTTAAATCCTCACCCTATTCATGCACAAATAGGTTACTTATAATATAAAAGAAATACATGATTGACACAGATTTGACACGGATTTATTGATAATTTCGTACTAAATAGCTCGTGTCAAACTGTTTTTAGCATGAGTTTGACATATCTTTGCCAAATTCTCTGTCAATCCCATATTTTTTTTTTGTACTATTACAAAACACAAGTCACTAAGAAGCTGTTCTCTTCACTTGATTCGAATGTTTCTGATCTAAATTTTTTAAGTTCTGATCTGATCTGATCCTAATTTTTTTGATCTGATATGATCAGATCTCAATCTTTCTGATCTGGTTTGATGTGATCTGAATCTTTCTGATCTGATCTGAATCCTTCTGATTTGATTTGAATCTATCTGATCTGATTTGAATACTTCTATAATCATAATTATAATTATTATAATTATAATTATAATTATAAATACAATTTAAATATAATTATAATTATATCATAAATATAAAATTATAAAATAATTATAAAAAAATTATAACTAAAATTAAATTAAAATTATAATAATTAAACCTATTATACTAATTATATTTATAGTTATAAATATAACTGTAATTACATTTCTAATTATAATTATAATTATTATTATTATTATCATAATAATTGTAATTACATTATAATTATAACTATAATTATAACCATAATTGTAGTTATATTTTTAATCATAATTATAATCATAATTATAATTACAATTACAATTATAATTATAATTATAATTATAATTATAATTATAATTATAATTATAATAATAATTGTTATTATTATAGATATAAATATAATTATAATTATATCTATAATTATAATTAGTGTATTAGGTAAAATTTTAATAATATTAGTAATAATAATAACAACAACAAAAAACAACAAGAACAACAACAAGAACAACAATAATAATAACCATAATAATCATGATCATAATAATTATAATTATATCTATAATTATGATTGTAATTATAAATATAATTATAATTATATTATATGTATAATATAATTATGATCATAATTATAATTATAATTATAAATTTTAATTATCATTAGCTATAATTTTAATTAGTGTATTAGTTATAATTATAATTATTATAATTGTAATAAAAGTGATTAATCATGTTTGAACTTTTCTGATCTGATCTGAATGTTTTTGATCTGATCTGAATCTTTCTGATCTGATCTGAATGCTTCTGATCTGTATCTTTCTGATCTGATCTGATCTGATCTCAAATTTTCTGATCTGATCTTAATAAAGTAAGAATAAGCAATAAGTAATAAGAATAAGACGAACAGAACCGCTTCTAAGAGCATCTCCAATGCTATAATGTGCACGGTGCACATGTGGCATGATAGATAGCCACATACATATTAACAAATAAATTATTTCTCTCCTTATTTAAATGATTTTATATGGTTTTGGTAAGTTTTTCTCGACAATGTCAAGAAGACCGTCTAGATATTGACATTGTAGAGAAAATCTTACCAAAATTATACAAAATCATTTGAATAAGGAGAGAAATAATTTATTTGCTAATGTTTATGTGGCTATCTTTCATGCCACATGTGCACCGTGTACATTCTAAATCACCCAACTAATAAAAGTACAAACATAACTTACCTTTTTAAATCTAGGACTTAGTTTGTTTACCTATTTCTGACTTTCTGAGTTTTCTTTTTTCCCTGGTTTTCTTTCTCCTTTTTTCAAGTTATCTCAACACATATTGGATGCAATAATGCGCTTAACGCATTATAGCACCACATATTTCCTTTTTGAAAAATATGGAAAAATGACTTCTCCATGTAAGAAGAAATTTAAGAGCCTTATCTCGTTTTTTCACTTTTGAGAATAAACAAATAAACACGTTTTCCAATTGTCCTTCCTCCAATTTTTCAGTTTTTTGAATAATGAAAAATATTCCTTTTACTAAAGGGTCCTTTATATTTTGTGGAGATTTCAACATATCTCATCATCTAGCCGATAAAAGTCTATTGTTTCACTATTCACAAATGTCCGAAACTTAAGGGCTCCATTTGGTCTTGTTGCACTAATTAATTGACAGATAAAAAATGCAGAGTATAAAGGAAGTTGACAATGAAAGCATCCACATTTGTCGAGCAAGCAGTCAGCCAGTAACGTGTTGTCTGTTCAAAGAGCATTAGATTCCCGTCAAAAGTTTCCACTTGATTATTATTGTTGCTTATTTGTTTAGTTTTGATTTTCAAAATTTTTACATCAAAGAAATGAAAGAATGTGGAATTCTTGTCCAAATTAAAAGACTAGGTGCGAGGTTATGTCTGTTTCTCTAAACATTTAGGTGAAATTTACTTTATGAAATTGTCTTATAACACATGTTTTCGTTGGCTTAGAGTTTAAACCTATTTTTAAGAGAATTTTTCAAAAATTGTTACTGATATAAAATTTATTTATAAAAATATGATCAAAAGTTACTGTAGTATGATATCTCAATCACTTACTGTAAATTTTGAACCTAAATTACTATAACTAAAGTTAGTACTATACTAAGGGAGTGTTTGCAATTACAGGCTCGTTTGCGAACGCTTTTGAAAAGCACTTTTGGGCTTTTCTGAAAGCAGAAGTCGAATGGTGTGTTTGCAGCGGACTGCTTCTCCGTTAGCCAGAAACCAGAAGCCAGAAGCAATTTTTTGGTAATTTGGTAATTCTTGAGAAGTAGGGGGCATTTATATTGTTAATATTTTCTGTATCCCATTAATGCCCTTCTCTTTATTGTCTGTATATCTCTATGTTTCAGTCCGTGCTGTTGTCTTCGATTTTCACAAAACAACATTTCTTTTCCATCCCAAGGTAATTGATCACACCCAAAAAAGATCTCTCAAATTTCTACGGCAACAGCCACAACGCCACAGCCTCCACCGGCATATAAACCTCAATTAAAGAATCAGTGTATGAAGATCTAATTGTATGAGTGTAAAGATGGAATAGGTGTTCAATTCTAACATACCTTAGATGGAATCGGTGTTTGGATCTAACATACCCTAGAATCCGAGTAGACATTTCCGCTGGTAGTTACCTGCGTGCGGCCAGGGATGAAAGGAAATACGGAGTAATGAAGTTAAGGTTTAAAGAGAGGGCATTTTGGTACATTAATAAAAAACTACATCAATAATCACTTTTTTACCAAACACTCCAACTTCAACACTTTTCCTATAATCACTTTTTTTCCAAACACACTCAACTTTCACAATTAATCACTTCTCTCCATTTCATTAAAAAAAGCACTTTTTTAAAAGCAGAAGCTGTTGCAAACAGACCCTACTTCAACTTTAAAAAAGTGATTTTTTAAAGTGATTTTTTAAAGTGATTTGGGGAAAAGTGATTAATAGTAAAAGTTGGTAGTGTTTGAGAAAAAAGTGATTCTGAAAAAGTAAAAGTTGGTAGTTTTGATAAAATAAGTACTTTTTGTGTAATAGAAAAAGTGAAAAGCAGTTTAAAGCACCCTTCCACCTGCTTCAAGCTTTTAGCATTTAACTGATTAATTTAAGCAGAAGCTGTCATTTGAAAACACTCTTTTTAACTTTTTTTTTAAGCCAAAAACTGAAAAGTGATTTTTTTAATCAAGTGCAAACACTCCTTAAATACATTTAAGAAGTCACATTTTGTAAACAATATTTATTTTGATCATAAAAGATGTAGTCATTTGACTTTTAACACCCTTGGAACATGAAATAAAAAATGCTCTAGTAACATGAGACGACTCAAACGAGATTACCATTGTCAACGATCTCATACCAGTTAAGTATAAAGATACAAACTCATACTACCTCCGTCCCTGAATTTACTTCCAAAATAAAGTGGCACGCGGATTAAGAAAGTGAGAATTGTGTGGTGGGGAGTTGTGCAGAGGAGAGAGAAATGCTGTGAACCACAAATTTTTTGCCAAAAAGGGAAAGTGAAGTTCTTTTTTGGACGGACGAAAAGGGAAAATTGGAAGTATTTTCAGGGGCGGAGGGAGTACTACGTAGATAACATCTTACTCCCTCCGTATCAAATTAATTGACCCGTTTCTTTTTCACGCAGTTTAAGACAATTACTGTAGACTTTATTAAAAGTAAGAGGTTTTTGGTACTGTAGCGACACTGTAGCGGTACTGTAGCAGTACTGTAGCTGCTTTTTGAGTGAGATTCTTTCCAAAAAGGGAAATGGGTCAATTAAATTGATACACCAAAAAAGGAAAGTGGGTCAATTAATTTGATACGGAGGGAGTATTATTTAAATTTTAAACCTCTTGAATTAGTGTTAACAATTAACAACTACTAGTAAATGACTGACTTTACAATTTTGGGATATTTGTGATTGGCGTAGTATGTATGATATACAGGAGGATTGCGATACCATGGGATGGCCCCGTTGATATCTCACGTCTATGAATTGGGTTTCATGGAAGCAATTGCAATTCCTCAAACAGAATGCTTTAAAGGTAACCTTGTGTTTGCAATCGAACATGACTTACTTTTAAGACACGAAGCACTCTAAGGACATGAAATACTCCTTTGAATTACACACAATTTAAGAAAATATCACTGTTTTAACACTGTTTGATAATGTTTTGCACTGTTTTGTTTACCAAATAAGGAAAGATGACATTTTTAAGGGACGGACCGAAAAGAAAAGTGAGATGTTTATTTAGGGACAACGAAAGTAGTTTTTTGGTGTGGGACAAATACATTAATTAACACGCCCTCTCAATTTGAACCGGATAGAACAGTATCGGGGTGTATAAATAGGCCAAATAGATCCTTAACAAACTACCCTTAATCATGAGTGCTAAGTCACACAATCGGAGTTGACTCTAATATCATGTTAAAACCTGAGGTTCCATCCATAATAGGAGGAGCTCGAAGTCTTATCTAGCGTTTTATTGCTTTATAGCTTTTTACCGTAGGACAAATGCTTTAACATCTACATCTATTAATGGAAGTACGTACAAATTAATTAAAGCAATGTGTGCTAAAAAGGCTAAAATGAAATGTACTATGTATGTTTTAAGCAGGAGCCATAAAATTTGCTAGGTCAGAGGGACTGATCCCAGCACCAGAGCCGAGCCACGCCATAGCGGCGGCCATAAGGGAAGCACTCCATTGCAAAGAGACAGGCGAGTCCAAAGTCATTCTCATGGCAATGTGTGGGCACGGCCATTTTGATTTGCCTTCCTATGAAAAGTACTTGCAAGGTGGTATGGTTGATCTCACATATTCAGACGACAAAATAGGAGCCTTAAGGGCTACACATTTCCCCCAACCACCACCGTGAACCCAACAGAAAACTTGAAAATGTTAATTATAAGCATCTCAAATGTAGTAGTTTAGCCACCTCTGTTAAGGAATAAGGAACCTCTTCTTTACAATGAAGATGGTTGTTTCCGATATAGTGTTGTGTTTCCAATATAGTGCTTTATTAGCACAGATTAATAATGAGTTTTTAGTGTTTCTCAAGATGACTACACAGTTTCTGGTTTTGTGTAAAAAACATGCACAGTAAAGGCTTGTGTTGAGAGATCGCAAACTTAAGGGTTACTTCATTATAAAATACCGTAGTACTCAATTTTTAATTGCTTATTATGATGAGGATTATTGTGACTATTCTAAAAAAAATCACGATTCCGAAGATGTTTCTAATTGAATGGATTTCAATCGCACAAGGCACCCTAAACCAAGATATAATGCACCAAATCCTCTCGTGATATATAAATTACGGAGTACATCATACTTTCCTGTATTATAATTATTCATGTGGAAAAAACCCTTTCAAGTAAAACTTTAACATTTTGGAAATCACTATTGTTTATAATATACATCTGTTCTTTTTTAGTTGCAACGGTCAACATTTCAAACTTGCCAACACACATCTTTGATCGTAATTATATCTTAATCCCTATTAATAAAAAATATTTAAAAATTAGATTTTTAAAATTTGTAATGAGATGAATTCAACAATCTAATTTAAAAAAATAATTTTCATAAAATAATAATATGAAATGTAATCAAAGTAGAACATGTGAATAGTGTAAAATTCAACATGTTGCGATTAAAAAGAGACAGAGGATAGTATATGATGGATATTTCTAAATTATATGGAGGACACAAATACTAATTGTTTGCTTTTATTTGATAATTAAATTAATTCATGGAGGGGGTTTTACGCATTAATAACTATAACACATAGAGGTTTGACACATTTTTGGAATCATATAAGACTAATGCGCTGAATTTATATTTTACGAGAGGGTTTGATGCATCAAACTCCATCAAACCAAACCAGATTACACCAGCCTTAAACAAACTCGACCAGATCAGATCAAATTAACTAGATGTAGACAATATAGTAACATACACATAAAACAAAGACATATCAGATTGGGTCAGATCAGTTCAGACAAGATCTTAAAATGTTAAACCAAACAAAAAACATCTTAAGAGCTCGTGATGTGATTTTTCTCGCACTTAAAAAGATTGTAAAAAAGTGGTTGAAAGTACAAGTATCGTCTCTACAGGGACGGACAAAAGGGAATTAAGAATTAACTAAATTCAGCGATTAAAAGGGAAATAAATAAAAATAAATGCGTCGTGCGAGATGTGATTGTTTGAAAAAAACTAATGCGAATGAACGAAAAAAATAAAAATATTGGTTTCTCTCTAATTAACGACGAATGGAACAAAAATTGATTCCGGAGTAACTAGATTTATGGCAAATCAGGCCTAAATACATGAAATTAATTTAATTGAGCCCAGCTAATCAATACTAATTTATTACCGCTCTCACGGTGTAGAGTACAATAATTTAGGAGACTAGGTTGATCTCACATGCGACAACATCCTAAATTATTGACAAGACAAGCGAGCTTATGACCCCTTAATCGCTACTAATCTCTTAGCGAACGATTAAGTGTGTGAATGTGTCCTAGGTTACAAAAGATATCAGTTAAATTATTCAGATACAAATTAAACGGCATTCATGCAATTAAACCATCAAGAATCTAGCCATACATCATGATTAACCCTTCATCAATCCCAAATCCCTAATTAAACTACTCACAATTCATAATTGAAGAATCAATAGAATTGACAAGAATACAATTAATTGTAATTAATTAAAAAGATGAACTTACAAATAATCTCAGGGTTCTTGAAGAAAACAACGTAAAAACGCAAGTAAATTCGTCCCTAGACTTCTCCGTAATGTTCGTAATGCTTAAACAGGAGAAGGGAGGCCTTATTTATAGAAAACAGATGAGTTTGGGCTGAACTGGGACTAAAACGGGGCCGAAATCCACGTTTCGGACGTACGCACGATTATGAGTCCCTGGCCACCCACGATCGTGCTTACATGGCAGTGGCTTCACGGTCGTTTCTTCTTCACGCACGATCGTGCGTCCCTCCAGGCACGATCGTGCGTGGCCTGTTCTTCACCGTTTTTCTAGTCCGAATTTGACAAAACTTCCTTCATAAAAGTTGTAGATAATGAAGTCTTCTATCCATCACAACTTGCAGAATGGATTTGAGTCATCCAATCAAAAGATATGAATAAAATGGTGGAAGGTCGCATTCTGAAATCGCAACAGGAATCATCTGACTTCATGGTCTGTTTTCACCTTCTTCCTCTCATAGTCTAAGCTGAAAGGCTTGGACCAAAAAATCAGCTCCATTATCCATCATATCATCATTTGAATTTAGGAAAAAATAACCAGATTTTCATATGCAAATAAACCAACCAAATATGCATTTTCTTCTCCTATATTATGCATCCAATATATCACGCACGTTACGATTTACACTAATTTTCTTAAAACACTATCCCATTTGGTTTTTTTAGAAAGTTGTTTACTCAAAGTTACATTATCATTTGATGCAAATAAAAAAGCTGAAGCATATGTAATGAAGAAATGATTAATCCCAAGAACAGGGTAAGAATTGTTTTGCATTATCACTTATTTTGCATATTTTTCATCCAAGTCCACCAAAGGTGCATAGACTTCAAATCTTGGATCTGGCCTTCTTTCTATAGGGTTGTACTACTACTCCTGTGGCACAGATGGAATATACAAAAGAGTGGTAACAGATAACATTCGAGAGGACCAAATACCAAAAAATGATAATAATGTTCACGTTTTGTATTGTCACTGGGAAGTAATGAACAAGAACGAATTGAAATACTTCTCTTATCAAAAAATACGCATAATAGATAGCAAGTTTTGCCTAGATAAGTACGACTCAGCATATCTTTTTTTTTTTTAATTTTGGTCCACATAATCATATTGTAGAAAAATACAATAATCGAAAGGTGCAAGAAGTAACATTAGCTGATGGCATTAAGTCTTTGAACAACCTGTAAAACTAATTTTGGGGTAAAGCAACACAGATATTTGGAAAAGATAAAGGACAGGGGAAAGAATAACAAACACTTCTAAATACATCAGAGTTATACTAATGGGGAATTAAAAACTCCCCCAAATGTTCATATTTTTAAGTGTAAAGCATTGGCAAGTTGTTCCAAGTGGCAAAATGGTATAACTTTTCGTTCTTTCAATTGCCATAATACCCCCCCCCCCCCCAGGTTAGTCTAAGCTTTATAGCTATTGAAAATTGATTATACACCCTCTTTAGCAGACAATATAATAAAGATTGGAAAATTATTAGTTACCAGTCCTGCACAATGATATAAAAAATCCTATTCAAATTGTTAATCGGTCGTTCCTTTGTGAGCATAATAAAAAAAATTAACCTATAATGAGAATGAGATTCAGAAAACAGCCTGATAGCAAACTAGAATGTCAGCAGGATCAACAGAAGATGCAAGTCAATTTCTCGATTCACATATATGAATAGAGCTGCAATAAATATAGAATTGATTTTTAATTTCAATAGAGATTTCAAAGCCTTCTGTAGGAGCTAAAAACAAACCTAAATTTCTATTAGACGAGTCCGCTGTTGAGTTTCAAGGAGACGTCTGTGACGCTCTTCTGATGGCAGGCCCCAAAAATAGCTCGCTTCGTCGATCTGCTTCAGTGTGGCGATGTACATCTCCATTCCAGGATCGTTGCAGGTGTGCACCAGGTGCCAGCTAATGCCTTTTAGATGGAGCGATATATTTATTCTTTGAGCGCGATAAGAACCTCGCGAAGAGGCGTGTGGCTCCCAGCTCGAAGCAAAGTAGTGTCCGATTAGCTACTGGTCGATGGTGTTGTTCCTGCGATGGCCGAAGTCTATCGCCGACTATCCATGTGCTCGACGATTCAAGTGGAGGCCGTCCTCCGAGCATGCTCCAGCTGTTGCCGGTTCCGGAGGGCCGCCATAGCTTGGGAGACCAACCCTTGGATGATACGGAGTATTTCATCTATTGGGGGAATTGCTCCTTGGTCTGTTAGGGTTTTTTATTTACGCTCCTTATTTCGTAAATACTACGGAGTATTTGCGTCAACACAAATACTACTAGCAGCATATCTTTTAGTAAGTTTTTTTGTGTCCACAAATTGACGCAAATGACTACTTATTTGTGTCCACATGTGTCAACGCAAAAACTTTAGACGCAAATAACACTTTTTGTTGTAGTGATTAATATTTAATTGATACCAACATTTATGCAATTAGATAGAAAACTCCTCTAGAAATATTCAAAAATTATACTCCCTCCGTCCCGTAAACAACTTCTCACTTTTCTTTTTGGGTTGTCCCAAAATTAACTTCACACTTCAAAACTTTCCTTATTTGGCAAATTCTCTACATCAAAACAATGCCAAACAGTACCAAACAGGGCCAAACAGTGTCAAACAGTGTTTAAACAGTGTAAAACAATGCACTCCACAGTAAAGTCAAATTTATTTCCTAAATATGTGTGTAGGTCAAAATAGGAAGTTAATTGCGGGACAAATGTAGTATATTTAAGAACTATATGAGTCTGATGACCCACATGTTCATGTTGGATTAGGAAAACATGCTTTTTTGTTGAACATTCATAATGGCGTTGGACTCCCATCCGCCTCCCATCAACTGGACATAAGAAGAAGATATAGAGAATCCAGTGTGGGGTATGGGAGGGCGACAACTGGGGGATGACTGCTACGGTGGTCAGCGACATGGTTGTGGATGATAACAATGTCGTCGGCGTAGCTGAGGTCGGCAACAACGAGGTCGATGGCACAACTGAGGTCGGCAGCGTAGCAGAAACGTAGAGCTTGAGAGAGAGAATTGTGCGTCCGAGTTAAGGTAAACGATGGGCAGCTGTACAAGGATAAAGGATCGTTTCAAATTTTTGAATCACTTTTTTATCCACATAGATATTAGTCATAAAACCATCCTAAGTCTACAAAATCATTTAATAGGAAAAAAGACATAAAAAGATATTGCCTCTGCCTCTGTCCAAAACTTTGACCAACTTTATAATTTTATTAATTATTTATAAAACTATCCTATGAAAAAGTTCTTTGATCAAAATTATATCATGATTTAAATTTTATGAAATGACGAAGTTTTTTAGAATTAGTAGGAAAAAAAAAGATTAATTTGGGGATGGACAAAAAGTGTTGGATCTTAAATCTCAAAGTGAAAGAAAAAATGTAC